AAAATGGACACCAATGGTTTATACATTCACATTCATCTAGCAAAACCAGGGGAGAAAGGGAAGAGGAGAGTTATTAAAGTGTCTGATATATAAGTTCTGTAATAAGAAAAAAACATAGCTAGCATTACTTTATTAACTAAATATCAGTTATCCAGCCGTTCACTCCGGTCTCACTTTATAATCAGGCTGGGAGGTCAGTTTCCACTTTCAATTCAATCAGTTATAAAGATGAACTGAAGCTGCAGTTGATTCATTGGTATAAGGCATTTGTTTTGAAGGATATCCATAAGCAATGGCTGCAAGGATGTTTACTGAAAAAGAGGGGTTTTAAATTTTGATATTTTGATGAAAATCCATTTGTGAATTGAAAGTGAACAGTTTCTCTGTATGCGTTTGCTGTTTAATTTGTGACATTTCACCCTAAAACTAATGTTGTCCAACAACATCTGCTAATATTAAACAACAACAATCACAGTGTTTCCACATCGTACATCGATGTGAATGTGTAACAGGTCCATCGACAGAACACATTTTTGTTTTTGATTTTTTAAATAGTATAATAATCATAAACAACAAGAATGATGTAAATTATGTACATTGCCATCATTTCAGCCCAAATGCTGAAACCAGCCTAATGATGACACTATGAAAAGGCATTAGTCTACAAGGCTATTTCACTTCAACTGCTGCTACGCCTCCACCGTTGTGTGTGTATTTACATGAATCTGTGCATGTGTGTGTATGCAAATGTGTCTGTCTATGAGTGTCTCATGCATTCTCTGTGTGTTTCAGATTGTTAGCTAAAGCCAGCAAGCAAAATAAACCCACAAAACCAAAATTAAACAAAACGGAATCATCATAGCTGACATTCTAAAAAAGAAACAGACACAAACTGTACAGGGACTCTGATATTCTGGATAGCAAGGCCACATTTTCAAGCTGACTAATCTCATGTTTGGGCTTGTTTTCCTCTAAAAGGGTTCTGCTTTTATTGCTTCAAATTGACAACAGAGAGGTGAAAGAAGTGCAGTGTGCAGAAGCATCTGTTCAGTATTCTGTCAATGTACGTTCCTGAAGTGAGCAGGGGAACAGGAAACCGAGGAGGTGCCTGACTGTCAACACAAACATGCTCTTCCTCCTCTCCTCCTCCATCTACTTTCTTTCTTCCATCTCGGTTTCAAAGCTTTGTCAGAATGAGGGAGGTAACAGAGGAGTCACAACCTTTTTCAAGTTGACAAGCCATAACCACCTGATGCTGGACTACACTTTTTCTCACTGTGTGTTTGTTTGATCTGTTCTTGATATTTGTGCTTGTAAGGGTCAAGTAAAAAATCCAGCTCCTGAATACCGAAGAAAACCCTCTTTCGAACCGACTAAATAAAGACAACCTCAGATGCTTTTCTAAACATCTCCTCTTTTCTTGTCTCAACTAATCTCAAAGCTTTTATCTGCATCCTTCCTTGTAGTCGGTAAGTTTAGGGATGCAAACTGCGACCACTGCTACTGACTTCAGAGTGAAATAACCTCTTGTGCATTGATTGATGTTGACACTGAACACTAAGCAATGTGCTGGCCAGCCATGTTCCTCCCGTGTCCATCAGTTTCCTCTTTAAATTTAGTGGGACAGCTGCATTGCTGCATATTTCTGTCTGCCTTGACAGCGTGAGAAATTGTTAATACTAAGTCTGAGATTCGGAAGCTTTTCATGCTTCAAAGACTGGATACACACAAACAGCAGAGGCAGCAACCAACTCTTCCCACACAAATCTCAATGAGAAGTAATTAAGAGGTACTGTGTGGACAGAAGAGCTAAAGCAGGATTTTGCAGCTGCCTGGCCTCCACATTCCTCCCCTTTAACTTGATACAATATCTTCCAAACACAATGAGCCCTGTCACGTACTGTACAAGCTTGTTCACTCAATTTAGAGCATGAATGGAACAAGTGTGATGGAGCCATGACAACCTCATACACATACAGTTACTAACACCAATCCAACTGCCAGAACCTCTTTGGCCTTTTAACATTGCACTCATAGTCAAACACAGCAGACAGGGAGATTGTGTGGGTGCATTTATGTCTGGGACAGCTTCTCACACACATGGATGAAAGCTGAGGGGAGATGGTCAGATTGAATTTGTAATTTGTCTTTCCTGATTTGTTCTCTTCATTTATTTTTTTTTCTCCTCTTGGACAGGTCAGCTTCTAACATCTGTAACTCCCCCGCTCTCCATACCAGTTCTTCAGTCCTCTCCAGCTAATAACACTGTGCTCCCCATCAGCTCAGTCCAGTTGATTCAAACTAGCCCTCATCGCCAGCCCTACGTTGTCCTCAAATTGGGTCCACCTAGGTTGCTGACCGACTTCTGCAGAGTGTTGGTCAGATGAAAAGCCTGAAGTGGTCCCTGCCCAGGAATCTGACCCTGTGGGGTGGGGTAAGGGCCCAGGGGCTGGGAGGTGCTGACCAGCAGAGTCCCAGGCTGTGCTAGAACCTGATGTGGTGTTGACAGCCCTTGAGCTGGACCAACCCACTGTGCACTGTAGGTAGCATTGGGGCTGTAGTGGATAAACTGGGGAGGTTGGGGTTGGAGCTGGGATGGAGTGGAGGAGGCAGGGGGGTGGGAAAGGGAGCTCTTGCGAACAGCCAGAGAGGAAGCAGTGGTTGGGTTTGTGGAAAGGTGGGTGGAGCCTCCAATGCTGTTGGGACACAGCTGGCTGGGAGCTGAGTACTTTCTGCCCAGACTTGCTGATTGGATAACCTGGAAGAGCAAATCAGATCTTTAAGGTGATCAGGTGCCTAATATCAACTATATGTGCTAAAGATTTAAGAACCATATATCTCAATTTTTTTAATAGTATGCATGCAACTTGTGAGTGCATGTGGTGTGTTTTTAGATTAACCTCATAGCTGTGTCCCTGCGCTGGGGCCTGCTGCAGCTGTTTGGCACTCCTCTTACCCTGAAAAAGTGTCATGTTTACTTCAGTTACCTCACCTTTGTACAAACCTATTGAACACAATAATTCATCACATCAAACTGCTCTTTTCTAATTGTTAAGAATCTGTTAAGACTAAAACCTATACACAGTGTATGGCTAAACAAAATGCAATATGCTTTTTAGAAGCAGCCTGGAGACAAAATTCCTAGTACTGACAAAATGGAGATGGCAGTCATCTGTTGCTACATTAGTACTGCAGTACCGTGGCAAATTACTATAATCTCTAATGAATGATTTCATACTATGACTTTTTTACCTAAAAATTACTTAAACAACTATCAGAAATGTTTTATTCAATTTTATTTACTTATGGATTTATTGGTTAACTGGTTCAGTGCTGTAATTATGAAAACAATAAAAAAATCACAGCTGCTATTGCTGCATCACCAGACAAAACAACAAATCAACTGGGGTCAACATCAGGTAATGTTCAACTGGAAAAAAGCTTCTGGCGATGTAAACACTCAGTGTCTTTGAATCATCCCATGCCAATAGGTTTTGGCTGATCTCTGTTTACCCCACCAATCACTTTAGCTTTTAACAAACTACTATTTTGATTTTTTCTTTTCTGTATTTTTCTTCTCATCAGAAAACTCCATACAGGAGATGGTGAGACTTGGTAGAAGAAACATTTTCTCTATCCAAACAACTTCTGCCTGCATTAATCATAAAACAATAGTAAACCTGTGAGAGGTTCATCGCATCTCTGGCCCAGTTATCCACCAGTTTGTGGAGGTCATCAGTGAAAGTTCCTTTTCTCTGGTGGGGGGCTGACATGCTGTGGGGCAGACACTGAGAACCTCCCTGGCTCTGACTCAATCCGCCTGAACCACTCACTGTGTTGGTGCTATTAGTCCCTGTGAGGAGAGAGACAGTCAAGGAGAAGAGTAAATCATGTCAGAAGAAATTAATGTTAAATGAATATAGGTCTGGTCTTGACTACGATAATGACTGTTGCTGATCAGGTCATAGTTTAATTTAGGGCAGGTCAGCATGTCGACGTGGTCACAGAATTAGTTTTAATGACAGAAGTCATGATAAACAGAAGCAAGAGAAACTGTGATACTAGAGCTGAACACATCAATATATTTATTTCATATATAAGATAGTAACAGATTAGTGATTAACTGGGCAATCTGTAAAGCTGACATGCCCAGAAACATTCATACATGATCTTCCTACACAACAGAAGTGATGTTGAGCCAGTCCGCTGGACTTGCAGTTCATGTTCTGGCCATCAGATGGCACTCAAAACTCAATAACAGCAGCAAATAGTTTGCTCTTTGCCAACCCACAGCATCAAATTCATCCTAGCGAATTCACTACATAAAAAGCATGCACTGCAAACTGGCCACGGTGCTACAATGTGTAACACGTCTGTTAAAAACTAAACAGATATTATTAGATTATACAATATCAGTACCATCATGTTGGTGCCTCTTTGCCAAAGTCAGAAACTAAATTACTATACACTGTCAGATTTAAGGGGGAGCATGATATAATACCTCAGCTTTTCGCTATACGACACTGCACTCACTATTTAGATTGTCTAAATAGTTGTGTTGTGTTTCAGAATTTAAGAATGAAAGGTTTCACTTCAGTCATATCTACTGTATATCCCTATTACTGCAGACAATATGCATGTACATTTTTCAATAACATACTGTTTAATCATATCATTCCGGCCAATGAAAGCAGATAACATGATTGATAAGGTACCTCAAATTCAGACTATAATTACAAGGAGCTGATGCATTTTCTTTGCAGACAAATAGAACCCAAAGCCATGCTGACAAAATGAGCTTGGCTATGAAATATACTATATTTGATCTGAGATTTTACATAAGAAAAGATAGAAAATGCAGGGATCGGTCAATGCACAACTAATCACACAGCTGGTCTGACGAACTGTTGTGTCATGCTAAATAAAATGGAAGAAAATAAAAATGAGGAGATGCTGAGTCATGAGTGACTGCAGCAGAACAGAACTCTGGGCAATATAGTCCAGACCACAAGCCATGAAGAAGGGGGACAGGAAAGGAGGGAAGAGTGGCAAACAGCTGTTCAGATGAGTTAATTTTGGCTCAAACATGTTTGTTGAGAGTTTGCAGGTGCATGCACTGTCAGGCTGAATCTGTGATGGTTGGTCAATTCAGTCACTTAAACTGGCCTTTCTCTAACGAGTTATTATCAGAAGCATCTTCAGGAAAATGTTAAATCTGAAACTTTCAGGACAAACTAGCTGAAATAACTGAAATGACCTGATCAAAAATCTGTCAGTGTTTAAATCTACAAGGCATCAGAGGGCAGGAGGAAGCATGGGAGAGCAAGTGCCAGGATAGAGGAGGGGGGGTGGATGGAGGGAGGGAGGAAAGAAAAAAGAGAGATAGTTACTACAGAGCTGGTTGCAGGGGCAGACTTTTTTCACCATCTTCCCTGTGCAGCCGGAGGACAACATTTGGAGGATTGGGAGAGAGTCAGAGTTAAACCCCGCCCACAACAACCACACACACTGCATAAAGTAGTCAAACAACACTTTGAGGTCAAGTTGCCCAAAAACATCTTAACACAGATCACTACCTGTCACACAGTGCACAGTGAAACCAAAGCCAACAGGAGATGTTTCCAATGTAGAGATGTATTTCAGACTTATTTTCAAGAACATGTGTGATGATGTATCAGGTGTGTGATTTGTATGCTGCACAGTGAGAAACGCAGAGCACAGATGCCAAGGCACAGGGCTGCCATCTCTACACACATGAACAACTGGGTAAAGGTGCTCTCTTTAACAAGACCACAATATGTGGGCAACCTTCTGAGGAAGTGCAGACACCACCCTCAAGCCTGTTTAGTTGACAGTTATTGTAGCAGAAACAAGCTTTGTAATAAGATAAACTCAGCTTTGCTTTCCTGTCAACAGTGATGCTAAACCACCATCGACTGTTGTCATTACACACTGCCTCAAAACCTTGACTGTGCACCATGGCTTTAAGATGCTTTTGGGTAACCAGAACCTGGCTCTGAAGTGATTCTTACTCCCCTCTACAGCTCACAGGGCTGTACCAGAACTGGGTCCAACATAAGACATATTTATATATATGTATGCAATTCAGATAATCAGGCTAATATCAAAGATCATCAACATGGATTTTACATCAGTGTTATGTGCTTTCCTTCTCAAGCCACTGGCTTGCAAACAAGAACACGCTCAGACAACTGAGACCCAGGTCTGTCTCTCTCTCCCCTTCTGATGGTACAGTGGCGGGTGGGGGGGTGAGTATGGTAGGGAACGAAGAAAGGGAGAGAAAGGGTTTGAGCTGCAGAGGATTCAGAAGCATTCACTAACATCCCTTCATAAAGCACAAACCATTTCACCAACACTACATATTATGATTATATGGTTTTAAAAAACTATTTACTCATTACAAAAAACTGTAAGGACTGATTCACAGTATTTGAACAAAACTGTGCTCAGATAATAAAGCTGAAGATAAATAATACATTTCCTAATAAAATATTAGGAGACAAATCTCTCAGGTCATCAGGTCTCAACTTGTCTTTCCTTGTCTTGTTTTCACAGAGAGTGCTGTGTGGAAAGCCACTTGTGCCATGTGACATCAGATTACTCATGGCTCAATATTGACCGTAGTCTTCATTAAAGTAATGTGGGTTTGTTTGGTTACACTGTAAAGAGACAGCTGCTGTTCTATTGCATCTGTGACAAAGCAGCTGCTCAATAACTGGTTCCTGTGATATTAAACTGCACTCTGCTATAACCACTAGTAACCATGCGCCTCACCAAATCAACCTGTCACTACTACTGCACATTTTGAAGAAACTTTATGTCACAGGATCACAGTAGCTGCCTTGGCTGGTTCACTTGGCGTCTAAAAAGCTAATGACAAGAACGGAAACCTCAAATTATCCACCAAGCCTAGCTTAAAGAATCCGATTTAAGCAAGAAAAAGTATGAATGTTTTTCCACCAATTCCTAAAAAGATGACGTTTTTGATTCATCCAATTTCTGCAGGATACTGGTGATATCAGAAGCAGAGGGTCTTCCTCCATCAAAGAAGAAAACCCATGAGAAGACATGATGACCGTGACTTGATGGATATAGGAGTAAAAAATTTCAATAAAAATATGTAAAGATGACTGATAAAAGAGTCAAGCAAAGAAATCAAAGCTTTACACACAAAGAGCCAAGCAGGGCGTACTGAAAAAGCGCGTCCTCCTGCCACCTGGCTTGAAGGCCAAACGCTCCGAACCCCAGCTGAACTTTACACAGCCTGAAGAGAGGGAGGAGGGAAGGGAAAGGAGGACAGAAAGGAGAAGGAAATGGAAAAGAGTTCCAGAAAAGAGGAGAGAGATGTAGAGAGGCGAAGAAGATAAAAGGAGAGAACATGATGAGAGATCAACAAAAAGACAGAAGAAAGAAAAAGGAAAAAGATACCAGAGGAAGACAAAAGGGAAATAGATGCGAGGGATGGAATGAAACAAATGAAGGATACACAGAAAGGATTTAACAGTCAGTTAGCCATCGCAATGCTTTACACTGAAACAGAGAGAATATTAGACCAAGAAAGACAGACTAAGAGGTAAGGAGTGTTTTGCTGTGAGAGATTGAAGACAAGCCAACTGCATGCATTTGTCTTTATCTATATGCAAAGAGCACAAGGACCTCTTTAAGCTCAGCATTTGTGTTAATTCAACTTTTCCCTAAGCATTGTTGAGTTGTGAAGGAGCTGATGAGGCCTGCATACCTGGGGTGGGAGCACACAGGCTTGGCACAGACAGTGCTGCCTCGCTGGTGTAGGCTGAACACAGGTTGTCGCTGGAGGGAGAAGGTTTGAGCGGTTGGAGTACAGTGCTGCTGCCTGAATTGGCTAACCCTCCTGGGGCTAACAGAGCCAGCTGGCCGGGGTACAAGGTTGGGACGCTCTGGGCGGATAAAGTGCTGCCTGGAGGTAGCAAGAGACGTGGGCAGGAGAGGACAGGGCAGAAACGGCACACCACAGAGTGCAGGGGCGCATATAAAACACACACACACACACACACACACACACATATACATGTAGATAATGGACACATACATTAAGCCACCCATTAGTCCAGACATTTATACACAGCACCACATATAGAAAATAAACCGGGGAAAGCAGTCAGAAATCTTCAAGCTCTGAGCCTGCTCCAGTGTACACCCACATGCATATGTACCAAGCAGATAAACACGCACACAACACGTACATATGTGCACATAGATGCATAAACACGGAAATGGTGTAATGTTAGGATAAAAGTTTATGATGATGTTGGCTGTAGTGGACTTAGTCAAGGTAAATATTTTGGTGATACATTACTGCTAAGAGGTGAAGAGTTAAAAGGGCCAGGTCAACCAAATTACAAAAAATATATACTGTACACTATTATTTCTCTCTAGTGTCTGATATTTTTAGCTTAATCTATCCAGGTTTTGGTAAAGTAAATGGAATTTCATTTCTGTTGCTTTCAACATGTATTAAACAAGATAGTCTAGACTCATGCCAGCAGCCCACAATGACAAAACAGCAAAAAATAACAACACATGTTGCATGCCTGCTGATATGCTGTTCCTGTGGAGAATTGTTGTAAGGCTGGAGAGGTAACTATGTCTTACCAGACATAGTTACCAGTTAAAATATGGGGTCTCTAAATTACCCTCTTTGTTTAGAGTGTTACAAATCTCTTTTCATCAGTACATATACCACTGTTTAAGGAGGAGAAATTCTAATGAATGAATGCTGCTCTTCATGCTGTCCACTTTCATATTCTGGCTCAAACATGTCAGGTAGGATTTTAGGTATTGTCACTGTTGAAAAGGTAGCTTTATGCCTTTATGCCTGGCTTCCTGACCTGTCTTGTGCTGAAAACTGTTCCTCTGTCGAGATGTGTTTCCCCTGTTCAAAACCCCATTTTATGTAGCACCCCCCCTCAGTGGCTGTGGTTAGCATAATGTTAGGGGAAACGCATCTCGATGGGGAAGCAGATTTCAACACAACACTGGCAACAGGAGTTGCGCATATTCATGAACTATCCTCTCATTTTCAGGAGACGCCTCTTGGGTTTTATCATTCTAAATACTTACAGACTATTTGGAGTTATGATGTGTGCAAAGCTAATCTAGAGGTACTCAAAATTAAATATTAAATGGCTAGAAATGAACATACCATGGGCTCTTTAATATCTGCAGCAAATGACATGGAACAAAAGTATCTGCATGGCTTGATAGTTTTAGAGATAATAATAAGGATAATCACCTTTATTTGGCCAAGCATGTTACACACACACACACACAAGGAATCTGTTTCTGGTACAGAACCGAAGTAGCCATCTGCGGCACCAACTCACACTGATAGCTCTAACCACTGGGGGCAACCAGGGGATTCAGTGCCTTGCCCAAGGATACTTTGACATGTCGACTGCAGGTACAGTGATTTGAACCTCCAACCTTCCGGTTGGGAGACATTTGCTATACCCACTGAACCAAAGTCGCCCCATATATACTGTGTATATATATATATATACTGTGTGTGTGTATATAGCATACCTGGCTGTAACTGACTCTTGCTGCTGTGTGTGGAGCTGGTTCTGGATGATTTAGAGGATTTGCTTTTGGTTGGTCGTCTCCTCCTGCCAGTAAGGGGATTGACTGGTGGAAGCACTGCAGTCGGAGGATTCTACACCAGCACCAAGGGCAAAACAGCTTCACATTGTAAAGTAGGTGATGATGCTTATACTGTAATGTTGTTTCTTTACTGATGTAAACAAGGTGAGTTACCTTTCCCAGTCTGATGAAAAGGTTGTCTATTTCCTCCTTCTGCCGGGAGTGGAGCTCCTGAATTTCACGTATATGCCTGGTGGTAGAAAGAGGGAATAAAAAAATAAGGAACAAAATAATGACAGGTACAAGAAATAAAGAGGGCGAGAGGGGGAGTGTCTAGTTTTCTAGTGAACACTGAAATTCTGTTTTCAAAAAGAGAAAGACCAGAACAAGGACACGTGAATAAAGAGAGTGGGTGGTTAGCCTCATTCTTGAGGCTGAGGAAAGAAAACAGGAAGAGAATGCCCTGATATTTTTGATAGAGAAGGAGAAGAAAGAGGAGAAGAGATCAAAATCTATTTTTTTTTCAAAGTGAACCTTATTAAACAAACTCAATACATTCCCCTTTTTTGTTGTATTATATGTAAATCTGCTGCTGACTGTTTTTACCATCATATTTGCTGCTGTTGGTCGTTTGCACTGCTGTCCATGTGCATCTCAATCTCACAAGGATCTGACAATCTTCCTGTTATTTTCACTACTGTCACTGATTGTACATGGTTTTGAGTGATACCTTATTAGGTTGTGCTGTTTAGTTTTATCCTAATTACTTTAATTACTTTCTTATTCTATTTTAGTTTCTTAAATGTTATGGGCATTCAGTATTAGGCGAGAGAGAAACAGTATTTCGATTTTTCTGTATGTCCTGCACATATTGTGAATTGAAAATAAAAATCTTTGATCTTAATCTAAAGAAGAGGTCATAACGTGAAAGAAGAGTTCAAAGGACAAATGAATTACCTGTTCTCTGAGATTTTTGAGAGAAGAGGGGATAACTTACTTTTCTCTGAGGTGGCTGACTTCCCTTTTGAAGTCTTCATCCTCACATTCAGAGTCGTTGTCACTGCTGTTGTAGGAGTTATTCAAGGAGTTGTTGTTTAGACTTGGCAGGGATGCTTTATGTGTTGAGTCTGGAGTCAAAATCCGCCCAGGGCCACTGGGTCCATTAGCAGCCTGGGTAGCGAGGGGAGGGGTCTGCCTGGACTCGAGGCTCTGCTCCTTGGCACAACTGACTGAGAATCTACCGACACGGGCCTCAGGGCTGGTGGTGACCTGAAGCATTGAGTAGAGTTGTATAAGTGAAGGATAGTTTTTGCATTTTTTTCAATGTACAGGAGAACTTTCACACTTGGAGAGGTCACTGCAGATTTACAAAAATTCAAGTTTTATTTGTGCTGTACTTGTAGGATTGCAACCCCTCACCCATTAGAGCACAACAACAATAGCAGAAAATACCTGGAACCGTCCAATGGTAGTGGTAGGCTTAGGGGAAGGGCAGGGTGAGGGGTGATGAGACGTTTCTGGTGTTCTCTGGGGGAGTCCATCCACAGTAGCTCCTCCTTGCCCTCCTCCTTCTCTCAAAAGAGATGAGGAGTCCTTGTGCAGCGTGTTCTCAGGGCTGGAGAGGTTGGAGGATGAGGAGGTAGAGGATGAAGTTGAGGAGGTGGTGGAGGAAGATTCAGGGCAGGCCGGGCGCTGGACAGGAGACTCCTCAGTAGCCACTGAGACCTAAGCATGAAAAAGTGTTAGAGGAAAAGGGGGAAAATGCAACAAAGAAGGTAAAACAGACATTACTTAACTCTACAGCAGTTCAATACAGTCTCTTTTACTGTGCTCAGTGTCTTTGCCATGAAGTTCTCTACCATGCCAGAAATAAAAAGTTCCTACTAGACTTTCTATGGCTCGGATCCAGTGTACATTTATCTTCCCACCCTTAGCATACATACTGTATTGTCTGCAGGAGCTTTTACCTGAAATCTTCCTAGTTTAATTCCCTCTGCAGGAGGAGGAGGAGCAGGAGAGGACACTGCCTCTTCCCCCAGAGAGAACGGAACTGAAAAAGAAATGACAGATGCATATGTTAGACAACAGACAGATAAAAAAAACAGATACAGTCAACAGCCACAGATATACAGATTTATGGGTTAAGTAAATAGAATGTACATACTTTGTTGTCCCACTGAAGATAGGCCACTGTGAGACACCTGGGGTTAGCATGGAGATGAGAAAACAGGTTAGTATTGAACAGTGTTATATAATCAAAATATATACAGGATGTCAGAAGGAGCTGCCCCATTAACAGGTGTTTACCTGGATGTTTGTGCCGACAGGAACAGTCTCTGGGCTGAGTGCTCTCCTCAACTGAGCATCCAGGTCCTCGAGAGGCTGCTGGGACTGGAGAAAGACAGGTGCACTTTTAGATGCACTTACAAATATAAAAAACACACACACGGTCAGTCAGTAACACTTAACTAGCAACATAAGCACAGATCAGCCAGTAGCACACATGAAACTACAAGGGCTGGGCAACAGTTCAGTATTATCATTTACTGCCTTTCAGTAGATAGGTATTTATCATGTTATTATTCTAGAAATGTATGTTGTACAAGTAAGTTGCAATTAAACTTAAAAACTTTAGTTAATTTGTTTTTGTTTTCTATTGTATAACAGTGGCATAAAAATAGTTGCTTTAAACATCAATTTAATTATTGTATAGGTGATTCTGGATACATTTGCTATATCACGATATAACTGTTAAGGGTAGAAAAATAAACTGATACAAGAGTGAGATTTATGGCTGCATCAGTTGAAAACCACAGATTCCAACCAAATGAGTCTAAAATAAATGTCAACCATATAAAGCAATCTTTGGAAAGTTTTCTGTTACTTCTCGCTGTGCTGTGCTCCGTTCTAGTGTGTGACCGTTCTGCACCACCTCCTGCTGGCATTCAAACACGCCTCCTTATTAACTATGCAGGGCTGGAAAAAATGCTGTGCACAGTACAGATAGTTGCAGGAGCAAACAGTGCTAGTGTTAGCAGCTACCCCAGAATACAGAACATGCAGAGCTTGTGTCAAGTAGCCTATACCAGGAGTACCACCTCGCAAGTAGAAACATTACGAGGGCGGCACATTGTTGAACCATTTTAACCGCAATTTAAAAATGAATCACTGAAATCAAATCCCTTGTGAGCATTAACTACAGTGGGATGATCTTAATTACAGTACCAAGTCCTTGCCCTTGAGGGTTACATAAGAGACGAGCAATGAATGTGGACAACTTGGCAGGTCAGATTTTTCATAAAAGAGCTACAAGTCATATCTCTCTATTCAAAGTGCAGTTCTGGTTAAATGGGTGGTCTATTTTCGGATGACAGCACAATAAAACATTCTGGAAATGAAAGACACGTCCCTGTGTCTCTGCCCTGAAGTACAGTACATGGTCCTTAACCTACTTGACTACTGCCTTGGTTTCTCTCTCATTCCATTGGTGTTTCTCACCCTTTCCCTTCAGCTGCCTCTCTGATTGTTTATCTACATCTTACTATCTCTCCTGTACCTTCAATCATTATTCCTTTTGGATAAAGTGCATCTGTAGACTTGTTAGGTTTGAACCCTGCATGTACTTTAAGTATAAGAATTAACTTACAGTCTAATGTACTGATGTTATGTTTTTCTTCTTCCTTTTAAAGTCAATTATTCTGATGTGTATTTACACGTTAAAGGTTTAATTTTTGTCTTTTGAAGTTAGAAGGGTTTATAATGGAGATGAAATGCATGAGTTGTGTTTTTTTTCTCTCAAGTCCCCTTTTTCAGGTTGTGTTGTATATTTTAGCAAGTATTAAATTATTGAAATGTAGTATAAACTTACTGAATCAAGCAAAAAGGAAATAAGCATAAGAAGAATTTATAAGCAACACATTGGATTAAATACAGATAACAAAAAAGGGAAAAATTCGCACACAGTAAGCTCAGTGTGAATACACTGCAATTGAGACTGCACTCTTAAAGATGAGCACAAAAAAACACCTGTATTAGACAAGGTCCAGTGAAGGATGGCGGGAGTTCTGAAGGAGGAGAACTGGCCTAATCCCACATAAAGAGAGGTGATGAAAGACAGAGTGGGAGAAATGAGAAAAAAAAGGTTTGTATAGGTTACTGGGGAGAATGTTGTGTAAGTGTAATAGTGTAAATTAGCTTGGCAGTTTCACCTAAAAAACATGTGCCCTCTGACTACATAATTAATTAAAGATATAATAATATAATGAATTGTTTAATTAGATCTAAACTAACTAATATTTCCATGTAATCCCAAGCCGTATCACTCACCGGTAACCTGGATAAGGGGGGTTTAGATGGAGTGGCCTGGCCAAAGGCTGAGGCAGAGATGACAGTAGAAATTAAAATCATAAAGTTAGAAAGCAACATTATAAAAAACACACAAACTAATACAAGTACACATGTAGAAACACATCAGCATATTATTCTACTTACCAGTCTGTGCAGGGGTGGAGACAGGCGTCCCAGGGCCCTGGATTGGAGTGGGTGAACCCAGTGATCCTAGAGCTAGGCTGGAGGGGGGCTGAGGAGCATTGGCTGGCAGGCTGGAGCCAGCTGTGGTAACAGATGTGGTGGAGGTAGAGCCGGGGCCCAATGGGGATGAGGTCCCTGCCACAGAGGGCCCAATGGGGATGAGGTACCTGCCACAGAGGCTCCAGAGAAAGAATCGGCAGCTAAGATGTCGCCCTGGGTGGAGGGCACACCTGTACTGAGGTCCATGAAGAGAGACCGCAGCTTCATCTCCAGAGCTTGGATGTCATCTGGTTTGCCTTGGGTCTCAGCAGATGCCTCAGACCTAACAAAAACATTGATGAATGTTTTGCTCACTAAATAACTTAAAGCCCCTGAAAACCTGTTTTAAAATCTTAAGTAAAGCTTATTTCTAGTTATGTTCTAGTCAAGTGAAAGATTGAAGAATAACATCCTTAAGCAGTATTTATTAAATAATTAACACTTAAACATTCTGATAATTAGCATTATCAAGACTGTGGGTGTGGTCAGATCAGATTTGTATGACAGAGGTTTGGCAATGTAAACAAAGGACTTCACATTTGGATTCAAATTTTGCTAATAAGAGATTAAATAAAGACACACTGGCTAGCTCTCACCTGGCATCACACTCCCCACAGTACACGTGCGTCTGCCCGGGCAGGGTCTCTGTCTGCGGCTGGCTGTGGACCAAGGTCGACTGTACAGATGAGACATTTGTGGTCACTGGCTGGAGCCCCACAGTGGAGGAGGAGGATAGAGGGGGGATAGGATGGAAGGCAGCAGAGGTAGCAAGCTGGGGGCCTGGGATGGCAGTAGTAGGGATGACAGAGGAGGACAGTGGAGGTGTGGAGGAGGAGGTGAAAGAGACTGACGTATGATCACAGAGGACTTCACTGGCTGCAAGAATGGAGGAGGGAGGGGAGGATACGCGGGGAACAGTCTCGGCAAGAGGAGGGGAGCCGAGCGCTGTTGGGGGTATGTTGGAAACACTTGCAGGTGGCACGGTTGGAGGTACTGAAGTAGCAGTGACAGCAGAAACAGTTTGGGACTGAGGCAGGGTAAAAGCCTGGGGCTGAATCTGTGCTTGCCCCAGGATCTGGACCTGCACCTGTGCCTGGGATTGCATCCCTGGCTGTGACAGTACCTGTGACTGAAAGACAGCCTGCTTCACTTCAGTTGAAGTATTAGAGGACGAACAAGGAGGGCTAAGACCGACAGCAGGCACAGAGGAAGGAGAGGAGGTTGAAGAAGCAGGGGGAAGAGAGGTATCCAAGACCTGCTCCTGTTCCTGGTTTAAATTAGAAGGAACGAGCCCAACAGTAGCATCAACAGCAGTAGTGACTGTGCAAGACTGTGAAGGGGCAGACACAGCTGCAGGCTGCAGAAGAGGATGGGTTGAGTGGATGGAGGCTGGGGCGGTGCTGGGTCCTGGATCAAACTGATTCTGGTTCTGCTTGAGCTCAGAGAAGGCTTGTTGCAAGCTGACCACTCCTGCAGAGTGGGACAACACCAAACCTTGGCCTGGAGTCTTTGGTGGAATTGAAGTCGAAGGAACTGGAAGAAAACAGAAACACTGGTTTAAGTGAGGGTGGCATGGTGGTACAGTGGTTAGCGCTGTCACCTCACAGCAAAAAGGCTCCTGGTTCAGGCCCCGGTTGTCCCAGTGCCTTTATGTGCGGAGTTTGCAGTTCTCCCTGTGTACTCTCTCAGGGTACTCCAGCTTTCTAGGACTGAGTGTGTGTGTGTAGTTGTCTGTCTCCAGGTGTCAGCCCTGTGATAGACTATCCAGGGTGTACCGTGCCTCTCTCCCAATGTCAGCTAGGAATGGCTCCAGCCCCTCCGTGACCCTCTTCAGGATAAGTGGTATTGACAATGGATGGATGTTTTAAGCCACAAAGTCCATCCTTGTCACTGTGAGACCTTTGGTGAAATCACATAATTCCCAGCATAGCTGCAACCAACTTACACCTGCTTAGAGGTCTAATCAGACAGGGTATTGAAAATACCTGCAAGCGGGCAGCGCCATTCATTTGCAAAGTAATTAGTAAATACAGTTGTCAAGTAAGTGGAGCAGAAATGTTAAGTTGTATAAAATGGAAATAAATCAGGTAAAGTACAAATACCTCAAAGCTATAAGTAAATGGAATTAGTTGCTGTCCACCACTTCATAAGACCAATGACACAACAGTGTAGACATGTCTCTACTTTGTAAAACAAATCAAATACCATTGTCTCGAACTGTAACACAGAGAATTTGAGGGACATGCACTACAAAATCATGACTAATGTTCTGTGGGTAACTTTCTGTGGTGGTAATTTAGGATGTTTTTTGGATATCTACATATTAATGTTTAATAATTGGACAGGCTTCAGCATGTGCTGAGTTCAGACTGTGGAGAAAGGAAGACAGTTCAATACCGTTCCTACATGCCACTAAAACTAGGAACCACTGATTTATATTGTGTTTTATACATTTGTCTAACAATAACACATGAATATTGTGTAATGCAGGTATGTTTAAATATATTTTGACACTATCCAATAGAAGGCTGGACACTGATATTTATATTTTTGTCTTCTACCAGAACATCCTATCGTATCAAAATAAATAAAAGCATGTTATTGTGTTATTGTGTTTGGACAAACATTTGGCAACTTCATCTAAAAGCATTACAGCTAAAGTGTGTACTTGTGGTACATTGTCAGTGTGAATTTTAGGTGTGTTTGAAACTGAAACTTCATTTTGGCCATCCTAATAATAACGTATTTAAAAGTTATGAGAACATTTTTTTCATCAGCCTCAGATCCAGGAGTGCAAAAAGGCAAGGAACATGAGTGGTCAAATTAACATATATGCTGTGAACATACCTGTACATAATAAGAAATAAAACAACTCAACTGTTTGCTGACCTTTAAAAGGTCATACACACATGCAGTCCTTACCTGTTTCAACAAGAGGTGCAGGGGCTGGAGACGGACAGGTGGGAAACATTTGTTCCTTCAGCCTGGCTTCAGGTACGGGGCTGACGATGAACCTCCGACCTGCTGAATGGACCACTTGTGCTGTTGCACTAGCAGGGATGTCTGGGAAGGAAGGATTAGTGATTGACAGCATTGTTTTTTAAAATCTCTTAGAGAATAACAATACTATTCTCTAAAGCAGTTCATCTACAAAAAATTTTAACATATGACATTATGATTACGTAACTTATTTTTTTTTACCTGGCATAGGGACAAATATAGCAGGATCCTGCTGCTCCTTGTCACCTGTCATCTGTAGACCAATAAGACAACAAGCTGAAAAATTAAATGTGGTGGCAAAACCATAGGTGCACATGATTATTATTTTAATGTTCTGGTCTGAGTGTATACTGCAAAGTGTATATATAGATTATATGCCCACACTACATAAACCTTTTCACTATAATTTTCACTTCAAAAGCAGGTATCTTATTTTTAAAATCAATCACTAACTGCAACCGTGCATCAGCAACCTTCGAACTCGAGACTTAGCACTGTGTTTACCTGGCTGCTTGTGTCTCTCTCCAGGCCTTTAGCATCAGCGTTCTCTATCACCTCTCTGACCTGTTCAATAAATGATTCCCTCTCACTTTCCAGGATAAACTCACTCTGCACCTGGACACACACACACACACACACACACACACAAAAAAAAAAAAAAAATCAAATTCAGATGTATGTGTGTGCCTTGTTTATGCTTCCCCTGCCAGGGTGTGGCCACAAAGGTGCCATTCAAATCCCATCATTCCTCTTTGTGTGGGAGGTGGTGATGTCTCTCCATAAAAGTGCAAGAGCAAAGCAATTATCTGTACTTCACTGGTTTCACATGACAAAGAACAAGATGCAAACTGGCCTGTGAAGCATATTTCAGCCTAATACAGAAGATAGGTGAGAGAGGAAATGACTCAAGAGCCTAGCAGAGAACAGTGTGTGTACCATGATCTGGGCGATCTCCTCAGGGTTGTCTCCATCCAGGTCAAACCTGAAGGTCACCATCTTTCTGTTGTGGGTCTCAAGCTGACACTCTGCCACTCTGTCTCCTCTACTAGAGATCTACACAAGTACACGCCAGCACACAGAGAACAAAAAAACACAGAAAGAGAATACAATTACAAAATTGCTTTTATTAGAACCCATGACTCCAGTAAACACTGGCAGTGGGCACAATATTAAAAAAAAAAAAACAAAACATTATTTTTTTAATTATGATTTTATAGGTTTTATGGGAAGTGCTATTACGTTGAGAACATTGAGCTTCGCCTTGGAGATCTTTTCATGGTGTGATCGACTTCGTACAGAACGCCTCTGATGTCGCTTGGTAGAGCGCCCTTCATGACGGCCTCCCCCTCCTCCCTCGTTACCATCACTCAAACCTGAAGCCTCAGAGTGGCCACTGAGGTACAGAGGAGAGATGGAAGCCAAATGTAATAAGAGAAATGGACACCGAGTGAGAAAATGCATCATAAATATTAAATGTGATGAAGAATATTTCCTTTTGTTTGAGGACTGTTGCAGCAGCAGCATAAATATTTGGTGTGTGTGCGAGTTTGCGCATGGATTTGTTACCTCTCTATGGATGAGAGAACTTGAGGTGGCTGGAGTTGGGACTGGGACAGCTCTGAAGGCTGAGAGGCAGACTGAGACACATAAGAAAGAAAACCCCTTAGATTGCAAGCAGTGCCTTTATGATTTTAATGAGGACTCAAATGAATTGAAATATATATAGCACAAACTTGGAGCAAAACAAAATTGGGCCAAAGAACAATAAAAAAAACAACAAATTAAAGAGCAAATTAAGACCCATTAATTTTGTGCATAAAACCATAGAAATACAGACAAGTAGGCATGTATGAACACAGATAAAGACAAACCCAGTGATGACCAGGCAGCATGCCAGTGAGCGAACCAGAGAATGGAAAGAAAAACAAAAGAAACAGAATAAAAAGATAAAAATAAGAAATGAAATAATTCAGGATGGGAAAAACATGCAATAATTACACTTACTGTAGACCAAGAATGACAATAACACTGGTTTACTGGCAACATAACTAACCAGCTGGCTAAAAGATCTTTCTAAAGGAAAGTTGTAGTGAATGAAGAGGTATCCATTTTCTAAGCATCTCTCCATATTTGTCTTTGGGTGCCTTTGAGTGTGAATGCATTTTCTATACAGGAAGTCTTCTTGAAGTTAGGAATGTGATGAATGCAGACATTAATGGGAGACGTATTGTACTTTGTATAGTGTATAACTGAATTAAAAGCGTTGCTGTACCTGTGCAGGTGCCTGCGGCATAGCTGTGTGTGTTGGGCTCTGAACTGATGCCCTACTCTGCCTGGATGAAATGAATATTCTTTTTAGGTTTGATAACTTTTAAGCAAGTGCAGTTCCCCATCATAGCCTGCTTCTAATAACTCAAATTCCAGTAACGAGAAACCCAACTTGTACAGGAAACACCAGCTACCGTTAGCAGAAAAATCGTTACCAGATGAGACTACAGTATAGAGGTTTGGAACACCAGTCTTATGTAAACATGCTGAATGTAATAAAGAGGAAACAGCTGGTTCCTAGTTCAAAGAAGAAAAATACATTACATCTTTTTTCTGATAGGAAACATTTGATATCTGATTAACATCCAGTTTCATGCTTGAGGGCTTTAGGGCTGCACTTAGTTCACAGCAGCGGTTGGTGCTGGGGGCAAACACAGTTCTTCAAAAAGAATGTGACATTACTGTAGGCAAAGAGCCAGCTATGCTGGAGTGGTTACCTTATAGATAAAGCAGACATGTGAGTTATCACTATACAAGCACAAAAATAGGGTGGAGCAATTTTTGTATCTTTATTGGATTTGGTATAAAACATGTGATAAAGGTGATAAAGTAAAAGATGTGAAGGGGAAACGTTTGTGTGTGTGTGTGTGTGTGTGTGTGTGTGTGTATAAAACATAACATGAATGCACTGGTTTTTCCCCATAATCTCACCTGTTGGGAGGTTCCAGGGGAAGCTAGCTGGGAAGTGGCAGGAACTAGAGGGGGTCCTGGTGGTGTGGGCTGGGGGGTAGGAGTCTGAACCTGCTGCTTAGAAACCGAGAAAGACAGAAATATGGATAGAGAGGAGGAGATGCAATGTTGCAGGATATAAAAGGGTGGAGGAAAGAAATCAGGAGAGATTGACAAGGAGAGAAGAGAAAACAACAATCAGAACATGCTTCAAGCTTCCATATCAGAAACTGTACATGAATGCAAACACAAGGTATGTGTGCTTGTTTTCTAGCGATCTGTTTTAGTTTTCTTCTTGTGTATGCACACATGCACACAGACGACACATGCACACTAACTAACAGATATATGCACACAAGCACCTGTAGTATGCATAGAAAGAGCTTCTAGTGGAGCATGCACAACAGTACGGGCACAGTACTGGGGTTAGGCATGGTGTAAGTACAGCTTTTGTTTTTACATGCAGGTCAAACCCAAGTGATTGGTAGTGCTAATAAGTGGCTGATACACAATCAATGAAGCACACAGTGGAACATTTACACCAAACAGTAAATCTGAGATATATAAACAAAAATTTCAACATCTGAAACAAGTCACTACAATGATCTAGGTCCAACAATATTTGTTGTGACAGTAGAGGCAAATGCTACCTGAAGTGAAAGCTTAAACTGCAAATATTCCCCAGTCAGGTTAATTTTGCGCTTTGTGGCAGATTGATGAAGCTTGCCACGCTGCCTAACACAAGTTTACATTTACGAGATCTCATTCTATCACGATTTGATTTGTCCACACCTTAGCTGCCACTTTACGCGTACTGAAATCTTTCTGTAGCACTGCAGAACAGCAGCATACAGACAATTATGACCGATCTATTGACTGAACCCTTAGAAGGCTGTATGCAACTTTATACTTGCCATGAAGCTCAGCTGCCCAAAAGAGTGGCAGGTGCTTATACAAATATAGTTGCACCAGACACACTACTACCTACCTTTTTCAAACATCATAGTTGGTCAAATAAATACAGTTTCACAGCTCAGAAATGTAATAAATAAAAATTAAGTGTTATATTAAGATAAGAGAACGTAAGATAAATGACATGTAACAAAAACAGAGGTAATGACAAAAAACAAAGATTGAACAAATGAGAAAAAAGGTAAATGATCTTAAGTGATTCAAAGGAACCAGTGAATAAAATACAGATGACACTGATAATATCAGCGTTCTAAGGGTTTAATGAATTTTAGCTAATGACCTTTGAACCCTGTGTCAAAAGCAGACTCCCAGTCTGGGCAGGAAATGACCACACAAGAGGATAAAATAAAGAACTGACATGAAGCTGACATCTTTAGCAATTATAACACAAAACAGAAAGAATCTAAATCATACAAATGAAAAGTCTACATGGTTACATTGTAAGGTTTGTCTAAGCCCTGCTGGTTTTGTTGTATGTTTCTGTGTGCTTGGCCATACAAATCAACACAGTCCTGCAGTTTTGTTATACTCCAGTGATTTTGGTAAAAGCCTTGATGTAGATACCAAATTCATAACTTTTAAATTTATTTTGTGGATATTATATTATCAAGTTTCCTTATGACAAACATTTAAGAAGTAGTTACTCATGGAGGAGAACAAGATGGACTTGAGATTTGTATGAGCAAAATTTCAAGTATACCATACTTAGAGTACACCTGCACAAACACACATTTCTCATATACATTCATATATGAACATACACACACGCTGTTACTTACGGATAATAAATAAATCAAATACAGAACAGAAAAGGATGGGGCTTAGACTAAGTGCTTATAAAGCTTGGAAGAGTGTCTCAGGGGCTACCTTCTGAATTTAAAATAATAATTACTTGATGAACAATCCTTTATTTTTTTAGGTTGGACTTGAAATCAAGTGATTTGGTCCTGTACTTTGCTGGGTAAATCCTTAATCAAGTAGCAGCCACTGATATTTTTCTACAAGAAATGAATAATATGAGCCACAATGAAGACAGACCCTGAAACTCCCTCTGTGGTGTTCATATGGCTGGAGGGGGTTAAAATCACAACCAAAGACTGATGATGACACATAAGCATCAGCAGCTGGGGCTCCTTGGATGGTAGGGTTTAAAAAAAGGGTTTGGTATAACAGACCCTGGATCAAATTACTAAGATAAATCAATTTAGTTGCTTTTCATAAATATATTTTTAGACAGCAAATACTGTTTTCTGTTTATCTACTGAACAACAAGTTTGTTGTTTTACAATTACAAACTGGCAAATATGGAAATCAGTCTATCAGAACTTGCCAACAAGAAAAAATTATCAGGGGTTTGTGAATATTTGATGACAAAAAGCAACTTTTCTGATTTAAACTAGCAATGGACCTAGGGACCTAGGGTGTTTTTAAGGTCTAAACTCAGTACCAGAGAGGGGTTAACGGCCTGCATGGCTAGCAATGACTCATGGTATGTCATGTCAGGTTGGGCTGGTACCACCCCTCCATGCCGGACCCAGGCGTTCTGCATCAAAGACTCCAGCTGAGTTGATGATGCTCCCCCGAGTGGGAGGTCAGAGGATGGAGTGGGAGGGAGAAAGCTCTGCATGGACGGTGGATGTCCCCGGGGATCTATGGGAAGCAACCCGCCTGATGAGTCGTAGTGTGCAGACGAGGACGAATGAGGGATGGACTGGGCAGCTGAGGAGTCAAAGGCAGGGAGGAGTGGTGGGGGAGGAGGTGACTGGAACTCTCCTGTGTCAGAGGATGTCAAGGAGTCACTGTAAAGTTCTGGGCTTCTGTCCTTTGTGGTTACACCTGTATGGTGAAGAAGAAGACTTCCTGGAGGTAAGGGGGGCTCGGGACTGACATAGGTGTACAATTCTTCTGTCACTGGCTGGAGGCGGCTGTACGTGCCTGAACCACCTGATCCAGGTGCAATATTATCCTCCAGAGGGAGGTCCATTGAGCTCCTTCGGGTCCGATAAAGTCTAGATGCAAGGAGGCTTGGGTCTCCTGCAGCAGCTGCAGCAGCAGCAGCTGCAGCTAAATGGGAATCAAGGGCACCTACAATAGCATCCCTCTGATGATGAAGAAGACACAGAGCCACCGGTGGATGCCCTCATGGGAAGTATTGGGCTATGTGCACTCATTCTTTGTATTATGTGTGGATGCAAGAATGCCTGCTGAGGTGAAGGACCAGGGTCAAAACTCAAACTAGCTGCTTGCCTCTGCTGATGGAAATTCAAGTGACTAAGCTGGTGTGCAGTCAGTGGGCAAGGTCCATATGCCATTGCTTCATAACAGTCCAATAAGGAACCTTGATTTAAGCTTAATCTCCTCACTGCTTCGTCATGCTCTGCTCTCATGTCGTTATAGCCATACAAACCGGGGTCAGATTGGCCTGGGAGATGCAGCGACTCCCCAACCACACGCCTTTGAGCAGAACCAGGTTTTACCATAAACAGAGAGGGGCTCTCAACAGTCTCCATCCCAGAAAAAGGGCACAGGCTGCCACCATACTGAGTGTAGGTAGCCTGGAAGTGTCGTGTGTGCGCCTCGAGAATGGACGTGCTCTTGCGCCGCTGGGTGTTGTAAGCCTTTGGAGGCCCAGTGGGTGGAGGTGAGAAAGAAATGGGGCGCTCAGGGATGGAGGGGAAGAAAACAGTAGGCGAGTCGGAGATAGTTGAGAGATGGACACTCCCTCCTGCTCCTCCTTCTGCGCTTGCTCCTCCACTGTAGGGGTACAACAGTGAACGCTGCTGCGACAGTGAGATACAATGGATTTAAGAAAACTCAGAAAAAGAGAGAGAGAGAGAACCACAGCAAAGGGCCATGTTAAATGAAAAAAGTCAAAAGGATCATAAAGTGACATATTCTCTCTCGGCACTAGAAGAAAAGACGTGGTTAACACAGGACAGCACATATCTAAATAGCTGGAGAAAGAAGTGATGAAATGAAGCAAGATGATGCAGAGCTGGTTACAACAGGCAGGCAGACCATGTGACAGACTGATACTATACAGCACAAAGGCAGGCAGACAACACAGAGACAACTTCAGACACATGCTGAGAGCTCACAGGTACAGTAAAGGTAGAATATTAATGGAAGAACAAAGGACAAATGCTACATGTAGCCCATAGCTCAATAATGCCGTGATGCATCTGCACTCAAGAAAACATTTCTCTTAGCTTCTCCCTGTGAAGTGGTGGCTTTTTAACTAAACAGCTGCAGACTGAAATTTTGAATTACAGTATGAAGAAACACGGGTCTAAATCACTTTAACCTAGTACACAAATACAGTAAATAACTGTAATCCAAATCAAATACTGTTTTTAAAAATTATAGTGTTAACAGTTTCCCTTTTTTTTAAAAAATGTCCAAGAAGAGACACTAGGAACAATGATTTTTTTTTTAAAAATGCTTGGTGCCAATTTTGAGGGAGAGGAAGCATTGTTAAATGCTTAAGGCCGCCCACCAAGAGCTGGGGTCTGTCAAAGGTTTCTTCAGTTAAAGGGAGTTTTTCCTCCCCACTGTCGCCAAGTGCTTGCTCAAGGGGGATTTGTTGTGTTCTTCCTCTATAATAATAATAATAATAGTAAGGTCTAGACCTTACTTTGTAAAGTGTCATGAGAAGACTTTTGGTGCTATACAAATAAAATTTAATTGAATTGTCTCTCCAAGCAGGCTTAGTGTTTCCTGAGGGTTAGGAGTGCCAACAATGAGCTGTAACAGCTCTGATTTGCATTGCTGAGATATCATGTTGACAAGAATGGGCCGTAGAGATGGACAGATGAATGTACAACCAGAAAACATAACGCCTCCGGCCCTGGCTGCAAGCAACAAAAAAAGCTGAAGGTACAGGTATCTTTTGTAACTCTGGATATATACAGCAGACTTTGCAACTCTGATAGCCAACATCTAATTCTCATTACACTTGGAAAATTTTTACAAAGTTTTCCTGGTGGTAGATGCACAGGGTATTAGGCATTTGCTCCTTAGAGGAAAGCTAAGAGTCATGAAAGTGATTCTGTGCTGAATACAAAAGATGGCCTATTAGAGGGAGAGAGAAATGGATGGGGAAACTCACAGTAGCGTCTCAAAGCAAACTAATAAAACAGTGAGGTCATAAAAATGTAAAGTGAGGAGCATTTCTCTACAGACTTAATATTGCTTGACTGAATTTAATGGCCTTGTAGCGGACTGGCTCAGCCCACACATTTGCTATGCAAACAGATATGCTAAGACTTTGACGGCATTGTGAAGCATGCTGTAGGCCAGGGAAGAGTGATGGAGGAGGATAGGACCAGCATGAAGAACAAGCACAAAGACATTTAAGTACAAAAACTGGACTTTTAACATGTAAATGCAACAGTGACAATACCAATAGGTAAAGGAGAACACAACCAAAATCCACTATATGATTGAAAAAAGCTATAGCCACAGTTTACATTTCAACTCTGTTAAAGAAACACTCGACTTTACTTTCATTATTAGAATAAAAATAAAGAACAGCTCCTACATTAAAAGATTCAGAGAATCCATCTGTTGGGAGAAGATCACCGGTGACTTTGTAAGAGAAACCATTTCAGTTTTTACATCAGCAAATTCCCGTTTGGAGTAAAACCTTTATACAGTCTGTAATAGAAAGTCACTTTCGGCTTTTCCCGTTTAGGGGTCACCACAGCGAATCGTCACACTGACGACTCGCATGTTGACATTTGGTACGTGTTTTACGCCGGATGCCCTTCCTGACGCAACCCTGATTCGAACCCGGGCCGCAGCGGCGAGAGTGTTGTGCCTTAACCACTAGCCTACCAGGGACGGCATTTATACAGTCTGTAATAAACTGTGAAAAACAAATAGCACAAAGAAGAATAACACAAAAACATGTATATACCTGTGAATAAATGCAGTAAAGTAAAACAACTGAAAAAATACAATGAATGAAAAACAAAAAAAAAAGTATAAAAAGTCAATTTAAAGTAAAATAAAATATAAAATACATCCACTATTACATAAATGGCCAGAATGAATTTCCAAAATTATTCATTAGTCGTTATTTAACACAACATACTAAGTCGGCCTGTCTGCTGGCTCCAAGAAATTACCTTTGATGAAGAAAAAAGCATACTGAGAAATGTTATGTTACTTCAAAGGCAGACCTAAAAAAAAAGCTAAAGGCACCAGATTATGTTAAAAGAGAAACAACAAATATAACCAGCTGAATGCAAAAGAACAAATGTGAAAGTAAAAATTGTAACTCTAATCATCAGAAGAACAGTACGTAGTCATACAATCATTACAAAGAAGAAGGATTTCAACATCCAGTACAAGCTTTGAGGGAAGGAAAAAGAAACTTGTTGATAAAATGCAGGACTGAGGAAAAGAGAGAATCACAGGAAATACAAGAAAAACTGAATGGCTACAGTAGCTTACCATGAATAAGTGGCTGACTGCTTGGATTACTAGTTTGCTAGCTAACTAACTGGCTGACTGATTAGCAGAGGATATGAATAACTATCAGACGCCATTATAAGTTGTATGATTTTCTAAATGGCTAAAATAACATGATTGTTTTTTCTCTGCAGAAAGCTGTATATTACCGTAATTTCCAGACTATTGAGCGCACCTGAATATAAGCCGCACCCACTAAATTGAAAACGAATAAACAGTTTGTACATAGCCGCAGGTGTCCACGTTGTAACATGAGATATTTCGACTGCCAGATCGATCACCTTTAATTTGAAAGCTGCATCATATGCATTTCGTTGTGTTTTCCATGATGAGGGTGTGTGCATGAAGCGAAAAAAGTAGCGGCTTATAGTCTGGAAATTAGGGTACCTGCTTCCCTGGGCAAGAAAATACTGATATACTGTATCTTTGGATACTCTTCTTCTTCAGGTTACTGTCCCCAATTAAAAACCCATCCCCAGCATGCTCTCATTTATTTAGTTCAGCATACTGTATAACTGTAGTTAGAATTCCAAGCCCACTCACAAACTTTGCAGGCATCATTCCAATTCTGTCCCACTCCAAAACACACTGCAGGGCTCACTTCAGTCTGATGATGTGCCACTCATAGATGTGTTAAGGATGAACTAGTTCTCATAAGTGTAAATGACAAACATGAATAATGTCTAATCTGGATGACATTGTCACTCACCATTGGTTGTGGTGGCTGGCTGTAGCCTGGGTGCTGCTGTGGTGTAGCAGTGGGGGTGGAGGGGTAAGAGGGCTGGGGCTGGGTGGAGGGGGGACTGCTATATGACATTGTCAGCTGACCCAGGTGGGGAGAGTCTGAGGAGAAAACTGAGGAACCCTGGCCACTGTCCAAGCCTCCTTCAGCTGGGAGAGAAAAACGTGCGACATCATGATGGTAACTTTTATTCCTGTCTTCGTAATACAGTGTATTGAATTCCGTCGTTAAGTAATGACCTAAGTACATAGTCCTGAGGTAGTACAAAAAGGTACTTTAACATGGGAATCTTCTCATCTACCATATATACTGTACACTTTTCATACTCCACATACAGTAGGTGATTTTTCTGCGCATTAAAAAAAATGCACCCACAGGGGAACACAAGCTGTTCAATAATTGCAAAGGTAAACAATTAAAGCAAGGAAGAAGTAATATTCATGAATTCATTCTTAACAGATGAATAGAGGTGCTGATGTTTCGTTGCACCAATGTGTCATGTTTTTTAGATGTGTCTAATAGTTATCTTATATTATACATTTAAAATGTATAATATATAATATGTGAATATATAAATATGTTTCTCAACCATAACTCTAGTATATTGACCATATCTACTATTTGCAGAATGTCTTACATGAGATGCCGGTCTGCTGATAGTGAAGCTGCTGTTGCTCCACTTCAGTCTCCTCTGCCTCTGCCTGCAGACAAACAAGCTCAAATTAAAGAAAAGGCAATAAAGAAAAAAAAAAACTGGTAAATCATTTGCAGTACCCCAGTATTCACGTACATTTTCTTACACAAACGTTCCTAACAACCAATCAGTGTTACAAAGGTACACGTATACTCACAAACTGATGTACCAACGAATTCAGCAAACCTGTGGCTGTGAAGGTTTGACTGTTTCTTGTTGCTGTTGCTGCTGCAGATGCTGTTCAGCCTCCAGTTTTCTCTTTTCCTGTTCGTCTCGTACCAGCTTCCTCTGTTCTCTTATCCTCTGGATCAGAGACACACGGTCCTTGATAGCCTTGGCCATGGTCTTATGGTCACCCTCAGCAACATAGCCAGACTCAACCTGGGTGGTTAGGTGAAGTCACATTTATTCTCTTTAACACAAACAGGTAACATTTCTTAAATCCACCTCTCCAAATATCAAACCCTTCAATTTATCACTTTATACATTAATCCCTCCCTTTCCATCTCTCCATACCATGTTGTTCTTTCCACCTAATATCCTCCCTTCAGTCTATTCTCTTTTAAATCCATCACTTTCTCCCACCAACCAGATCCTTGAATCTTCCAACGTACCATTTCCTGGGCCACATCTTCAGGGACATCCTTGTTCAGGTCAAAGGAGAACTCGATGGCTTCATTGTCATTGTATTTTCCTAAAAACAAATAATGCACTGTATGGTCAGGAAGCTGTGTCTCTATCAGTAATAAATCCTATATTGTAAATATTATGTTAATGTTTATTAACAAAAAATAAGTGCTTTGGCTTTTTAAACACTAAATGTTATTTGCTAAATTATGGCAAATATGGCTAAAATGTGTTTATCAGATATTTAACAAGTTCAAGTTCAAAGTGTTTATTTGTCATATGCACAGTTAGGAAATTCTTACTTACTACAATGGCTCCAAATGTCACCAAACCATTAAGAATCACAAAAAACACCCCCACTACAACCACTCGCATGTTTATAAGACACTAACCAGATGAAATAAAAACTTGCCTTTGAGCTTCTTGACATCTTCTATCCTGAGCCAAAGTTTGATGGCGATCATTTCCCCATCATCCTCTTCTGCCAGTTCAACCCTCACCCCTGTCTCCTCCTGGAAGAACGCATGGTTCAACAGGATCTTTATTGCATACCTGGGAAAACAACATAAGAAAAAAATCTAACTAAAAGGCACAGTTAGATGATCAGCCCCAGCCATACAGAATTTTCCCTGAAAAATGCAGACGGAACAATACAGCAGAAAAGAAATATAGGATAAAACACTGATAACAAAGAAGAAGTGAATTTACTACGTGATACTACTTAATGCTTTTTTTTTTCCAAGATCAGCAATGCCTTGTGATCTTAATCCTATCACCATTTTGTTTGGGGACTGGGGCCTTTGATTGTTCTTACAATATTTAGGGAAAAAATGATGGCCAGCGTTCTGTCTGTCAATGTTCCTGAGTGAAAGACAAAGAATCCAATGACTGTTCTTCAAAAAAAGATCAAAGTAACTGAATTTGTGCAATAAGGAGAGGAAAGACAAAAAGAGAAAGGAGAAGGAGAGTGCAGCTTTGGTTAAGTTTACTGTATAAAGCAGTAGATGAGAGGCTATGGAGGCTGACTTGGCAGACATGCAGCACGAGGACAGAGAAGAGAGCACTTCTTTCTGACCAAGAAGTTGCAAGTTAGAATGAGTTTGTACTGCTTCATCTCTCTACCATTTACTGTAGAAAAAATGGACAAAGGTCACAAGACTCACTTGAACAGTGTCATCAAGCATTACTGGATGTAGTGATGATAACCAGATCTAATGCATTTTATCAACCTCAGAGACTGAATTTATATATTGTCAGTAAATCTACCTAAACTATAGCAAAAACTCTATAAAACATTGAAATAGCCAAAGACAAAAAACCACACCATGTGTTAAAGACTTGGCATTAATAGTTTATGTTTGTGTTAACTCACCTCTCATCCTTATTTGTTCTGATGCAGCCCTCTATAATTTCCTTCACCTCAGGAATGGCTACCTTGTCGAAACTGGCAGGCTTCACACCCTGCACAATCACATACAGAGAAAGAAGAGCTGTGATGACAAGGAAGCTTATGGAGAGAGTTGAATAAAGAAACACACAGACAAAAGGGAAGCCAAAGTTTGTGAAATACTCATTCTGTAAATGAACAATGCAAAGAGGGTGTTTGTTCTAATGATGTAGCGTAAAGGATAAATATTTGGCCCTAGAGGGTGAGAGACTGTCTAGTAATGGTTTGGTCTAGAGTTGATTCCCTCTCAGAAATAACGGAACACAACAAAAATACCAGAATACATTTAGGGACATAATACAAATAAAAGGAAACAGTCAGAATGCAATTGCCAAAACTATGGCTAAGGAACCAGCTCGATGCCAGAAGGCGTGACCAGTCTGTTCATTCAAGCATTGTTAATGGAGGAAATAAATAAAGACCTGCACAAAGACATGCAAGTAGGAAGCTAATTCCTGAATAAATAAGAGACAGCAAAAGAAGATGGCATTCTCCAGAAAATATCACACCCTCTCCTCTCTCTTATACACCTGTATGAACATATGTCAACAAACCTTCCAGTCAGTCATGTTAGCAATTAAATGGATTTGCCTGGTCTGTGTAAAATTTCATAGTAAAGCAAGGGCCCACCTGGATGTGGTTACTAAAAGCCGTTAACGGGCTGGGAAAATAATCAAGCAGGTATTCAAGGACTGAACACACAGACTATACAGTATATCAGATAGAAAAGAACAAATCAACTCACAAAGATGAGAGGAGACCCAAGGCAATAAGCAAACATTATTTTTAAAAAGACAGGAAGAGCATGACAAAAATGAAGCAAAAGAGAAAAAAAAACTGTAGCTATGAGTGAATGACATGATTTCTGGGTGACTATTAAAACAGCTACATGACACTCAAATACAGGATAAGTAACTTACCTAGGAAGTATGCAAACAAGTGGACTGGAGAGGTGAGTGAGAGATATTAGTCTAAACTTACTGATTAACTAACTGACTCCTTGTCAGCCTGACTATCTCAATCTGTTTATACCAGTACATGAGCACCTCCCTCTGCTCTTTCCTCCAGCCTTGTCCTTGCTTCCTTCCTTCCAACCTGTTTTGCTCCTGCAACCACACCCCAGTTTGTACTTACATAACAACCCCCATCTCTCTCTCACACACACACAGACACACACACACTCAAAGATTCCAGGGCAGCCAAACAAGGTTAAGATTGATGGGGGAAGTAATGGCATTAAGAAGAAGGACCATGAAGCATGTCAACAACACTGTATATCAAGGTATGAGAAGATAAGATATAGATTATATCACCACATTCCCGTGCTCCCAGGGGGCCCCATCATACAAAATAAAAACTGTTTCTTAGAAGTCAGGAGTTAATTGTGTCTAACTTCAGAAAGCTGGAAGAAAGAAATATTGTTCCATCAAACACAAAGTAGTTTCATTTTTGTGTGAATAAGAAGAGGGAAAATGCAGACAGAGGAAATGAATGAAATATGATGCATGAATTTATTCTTCTCACAAAGCATTGGAAATTGAATTGAGAGACAGAAAGGTATTTGTTTCCAGGACTGGGTAACTTCTGCCATAGTGGTGGTGAGGGGCTGGGAGGAAACCTGCACCTAAATAAGTTGAATTTACCAGTCCAACCATATGAATGGGTCCTGGAAAGGTTTGATCCATCACTGAACTAAAAAGTTAAAGTGAAATCTATATATTAAAATACTACTGTAAATGTTAGCATAATCCAAAAAAAAAATTTTTAGCATCTGTCAAGCAGCCTGTGGATGATCACTGTGTTGTAAAATACTGTAAGTGAAATAGGAAATGACGACATGTTTGGAACACATTAGTTTCTAATTTTGATAGAAACACATTCAAAGAAAAAAACACTTCCGCTGCTGCCAGTGTGTGTCAAAAGTTACTATTACATTTTTATGTTCGCCTGGGGTAACAGAAGCACGTTTCAGCTGAAGGGGATGTTGCACTCACTCAGCACATTTCTCTAATATCACCAGTCAAATATTAAGAGATACTATTATTAATACTCTTCTTTGTTTGAAATTTGTGCCCACAATTGCACATCTTTTCTGCTTTGACATAACATCAACATGATTTGTTATTTCCAATAAAGTTCTATACTGAATTGAAATAAAAGCTGTGCTAAGATGCAAATAGAATTGGCAGATAATGAAAAAAGAAAAGCATAGACAGAAAAAGAGAGAGAGATTTCTAGTAAATTCCACTGGTCCATTAACCATCACTGTCAGTCCCGTGAGGCAGCTCTCATCTGCCCATGTGCATGTGTGTTGTTGGGGCGATGACCTCAACAGCACTCAACTTAAAACCACATCTGAGTGCATCTGTTGTCCTCTCTGTCTTTGTTGTGGTCTCCATCTCATTTTATTCCCTCAGCGTTTCCAGCCATTTTAGCACATGTTGGAAATGTTACAAAAAACTAAAAGCATCAGATGGGTTGATGCACAGATGCATTCAGCCTTCCATAAGTCAATAAGTAAATATGCTAATCCTCAATTGAGTTTCTCTCTGATACAGTTTTTTGAGAGGTTGTGGGGGACAGACTGTTGGCTGCCTTCCAGAATATCAAAAAGCATTTAAATGATGAAACTGGACAGATAATGACAAACCAGAGCCCATGAAAGTAAATTTTATCATTTGTTTTGATATGACAGGGTTTGCTCAGTATTCCACTCCAGCGGCGGAGAAAAAACTGGAAGCTATAACGTCTTTTTCCAGCACTAATGTTTAATTAATTTTTTTTATAAGAAAGAAAGACAGTGAGGGGAGGGTTGGAGAGTAATCAGTGCAAAAACACAATCATATGACTGGACCTCCTGCAACTCATGCCAAACTCATTACTACAGTCAGTGCACATGTACAGGAAGAGTGGCCAAGGAGGATTAGAGACAAAGCGACCAACAAGGCTGTTGGATACAACACATGAACTTGGTGTCTCTACAGTCTAGCAGCATTCATAGCTGAGACATTCAAAAGCCGGTCCACTCTCTGTGACACAAACACACAGCACAGGAAATGCAGACTCACACTAGTAACTCGTCTGTAGATCTGTGCAGCGTTTTGACATTCAGAGTAGGGGTACTCTGATGTAGCCATCTCCAGCATACACATCCCAAAGGCGTAGACATCTACAGATTCATCATACTTCTCTTCATACATCTCTGGAGCCATAAACTCTGGGGTACCTGATGAAAAGGAGAGAAAAAACTATGTTCTTATGAATCTTACTGGAAATTTTGATCCCTCAGTCACCATGCCTCACTCTGCATCTTAAAGTTTCTGTAAATGCACATGCATCAACCCTAGATCCCGTTAAACAGCTTTTTTTGTTTGTTTGTTTTTTGTTTTGTTTTTTGTGTTCATTTATTTATTTTATTCCATTTAACCAAATATTTTCATCAACATATAAGAGTAGGCAAAGAGGTGTCTCAATTTTAATTAATAAAAATATCCCATTAATTCATAATACATCTATCACTGATCCAGAAGGCAGATTTATAATTATTAAGGTATCCATTAACCAGACAACATATACACTTGCGAACATATACGGCCCCAATAATGATGATTCATGCTTTTTTCATAATTTGTTCTCATCTTTATGCAACTCAACAAATATTATTATTGCTGGTGATTTTAACACTGTTATTAACCCAGAAATTGACCGTTCAATCATCTCCAGCAGTATAAGAAATCAGCACTCCACTGAAATAATAAAACAATATATGGAGCATTATGGACTTGGTGATAGTTGGAGAAGGAGTAATCCTACATCTAGAGAATACACCTACTTTTCCTCCCTTCATCAGTCTTTTTCTTGAATAGACCTCTTTCTTATCAGTAATTCCCTAACCCAACATGTAACAGACACCACAATCCATCCATCCATTTTCTTCCGCTTATCCAGGACCGGGTCACGGGGGCAGAAGTCTAAGCAAAGATGCCCA